CCGCCGTTATGCGTTACCGTAGTTCATCTCGGATTTGGGCGTTATGCGTGATGAACTTCAGGTCGCTTTAGTACAGTAAACACTGAATGAATCCACACCCGGCTTCAGCGTCCCTCAAAGACTACCAAGAAACAATGTTCGTCAACGCACAAGGCGTCTTCCTCTGCTACAAACACGGCAGCTTGAAGATGATCGAGCAAGGTCGCGGCGGACGAATCATCGGTGCGTGTCCAATCGCTCACCTTGACTATCACTGCTTATTCTCTAACCTTGTAGGCGCGTGCTCTATGGCTGGTAAAGTCGGAGATAGGACGGGGTTCGTCTACTCGGCCAGCAAGTTTGCCGTTCGAGGGATGACGCAAGCAGCCGGTAACCGTCCTCTAATCCCTTCCGCTGTCTTCGTTCCTGACGCGCCCTCATAGCTCTTGAACTGGCAAAGCACAACATCACCGTGAACGCATACGCGCCAAGCGCTGTCGACACAGAGATGAGTACGTCCTCACACCCTGATATTCATCCCAAGCAGACCCATCTCAGTCACTCTCAGCTCGCAAAGCCTTCGAAGAAGCCGGAAAGACTACGGATGAGGCTACACCCCTCGGGAGAATCGGCACACCGGACGATATAGCGGGGTTAGTCTCGTATCTTGCATCTGAGGATGCCGGGTTCATCACTGGTGCGTGTATCTCGGTGTCTGCTTCGAGACGGGGTTTGACGTGGTCGTGATAGGTCAATCCATCGGTGTCAATGGTGGTTTGCACTTCGACTAGGTCCCGCATTGCCTTGTATCGCGATCCATGTAAAGCAGTACCATGTTTGTATATCGTGAGAAGATGTTCTCCTGCATGGTCATCATGTTTCCTCTTTCACGTCTGAATGATGGAGCATCGCTTCCGACCAGCACCCTCACTGATCAAGTTTATGATATAGTAACAATATCTCCATCTTCGGCTGCTCTCCCTCGCGAGAGAAAGCAGATGACTCTCCCTCTTGACGCCCAGCGCAGAACTGAAGCTCTTATAGACTCACCACCGACAGTTGTAGACCCCCCCCTCTTCCTCCTAACGCCATCCCTCCCACATGCTCGCCCGCCTTACCCTCCCAATCCGCCGCGTAGCAATCGTCACAGGCGGCGCCCAAGGCCTTGGTAAAGGAATCGCCCTCCGCCTAGCTCGCGATGGGCACGACGTCGCTATCGCCGACTTGCACGAGAGCGCGGCGAGAGAGGTGGCAAAGGACATCGCTGCTCTCGGAAGGCGCTCTTTGGCTTTGCAGACGGATGTTTCGAAGGAAGACGAAGTGGAGAGGATGGTCAACGATGTTGTTCAGCGGTTGGGAAGCCTTGATATTGTGAGTGTCCATCGCGTTGAGAACAATGCACGCCACTGATGAAGCGTAGATGGTCGCGAATGCCGGGATCGCCAAGATTGACACGCTCATGAACAGCAAGTCATCCCACGCTGTTTTGCGATTAATCTCAACATACTTACACATGCCATGACCTGGAACTAGCACGCCTAGAAGATTACCGGGACATCATGACCGTCAACGCGCAGGGTATCTTCCTATGCTACAAGCACGCCGGCCTCAGGATGGTCGAACAAGGCCGTGGAGGGCGCATCATCGGCGCGTCACAAACGCAAACATGGTCATCCACGCGCCTACGCTGACAGCTTCGCAGGCGCTTGTTCGGTCGCCGGGAAGACTGGCGACAAAGACGGTCTCGCTTATTCCGCCAGCAAGTTCGCTATTCGAGGCATGACACAGGCAGCAGGTACGCTCCTCGCACTAAGCGCGATCGTCACTCAGCTTATAGTTATACCTTCGCAGCTCTTGAGCTTGCTCAGCACAACATAACTGTAAACACGTATGCGCCGAACATGATAGAGACAGACATGGGTACGGTCCCCTTGAGCCTGCATAGATGTGCTTATCAGGCGTTCTTAGTTCGGGAGGCGATCAAGAAAGAACCGGGTCTGAAAGAACGCTTCGTGGCGGCGACACCCCTAGGCCGCCTTGGCACAGTAGACGACGTCGCGGGCTGTGTATCCTGGCTGGCCTCCGAAGACGCTGGATTCGTGACTGGCGCGTAGACTTCAGCGTCGATACTCGGAGGTGTCTGACCCGCTCCCGATAGGTCAATCCATTGGTATCAACGGCGGTCAACATTTTGACTAGCTTCCTTCCAAGTCGTACTATGTACTTGATTCGACTCCTGTACTCTTTCTTAGTTGCCGGTTTCATAGGCGCCTCTTGCTTCAATGACATGTACGTGCGAAATGATCGACACAGCCCCAGAGGGTTGACCACTGGGATTGTCCAAGCTAGCTCGGACCTCTGTAGGCTGCTGGACAAGCTTGTGATCAAGAGAACGCCGGCATCACGCGCAGGTACTGGATTAGGCATCATACAATTGTCGCATCTCTTCCAACGGGGTGGTCCAAGCGTAAGTCCATGGAACCCTGCGGGCGCTCCTTTCGTACCGTCCGCCTCCCACACGGCGTAGAATCACCCATCCTCTCAGGGTACCGGTGACCGTTGATCTCCCGACGGACGCGGCAGCCTCCGAGTGCAGCATTTCCGACGCTCAGCTGATGATAACTCCATTGAGTATCGCAAGACCTCCCTAGTGCTTCCCTGTTGATGTAGGAAGTCATTCCGAGCAGTCAAGCAGAGATAAAAAGACAAAGGGAAGGGGAAGATGAACGCTCATTCGATCCCCTCATGTCCGTCGCTCGCTTCGCGCTCCCAGCCAAACGCGTAGCCGTCGTCACAGGCGCCGCGCGCGGAATCGGCAGAAGCGTCGCGCTTCGCCTCGCCCGCGACGGACACGATGTCGCGCTTGCCGACCTTCGTGGCAGCGCTATTGACAAAGTGGCGAAAGAGGTCGAGGCCCTCGGGAGGCGGTCTCTACCGTTGTATGCGGACGTGACGAGGGAAGAGGACGTGAAGCAGCTCGTCGATGATGCTGCGGAGGGCCTGGGTAGTGTTGACATCGTAAGTAATCGTGTGCACGGGGTGTAGTCCTTGTTGACAGGTTGTAGATGGTCGCTAACGCCGGGATTGTGACCTACGATACTGTGTTGGACAGTGAGCGCACTTCGGTCCCATTGAGCTAGAGTACTCTTGCTTACCAGACTGGCCACAGCGAGCCTCGAAAGGTTCCAGGAGGTCATGGCCGTCAACGCGCAAGGCGTCTTCCTATGCTACAAGCACGCCGGCTTGAAGATGGTCGAGCAGGGCCGCGGGGGACGTATCATCGGTTCGTGATGACCGTGATGGCAATGAACTGCAGCGCTGGAGTACTGAGTTCTGCTTAGGCGCATGTTCACTTGCGGGGAAAGCCGCGCGACCGGACAACTTCGTCTACTCCGCGACCAAGTTTGCCGTTCGGGGTATGACGCAGGCAGCAGGTACGGAACCCGACCTTCTGACCTGTACGCCGCAACCTGACGGCTTCGGTGCAGCGCTGGAGCTAGCTAAGCACAACATCACCGTGAACGCGTACGCTCCAGGCGCAATCGACACGAACATGTGTACGTCGCGTGCTCTTCATAGTGTCCCATCCTGTGCTGACTAGGACGTCAGTACGTGAGGCGTTCGAGCGCTACAAGGACATCGAGGCGCAGCTCAAGGCGATCACACCTGTCGGTCGAGTCGGTGTGCCGGACGAGATAGCCAGCTGTGTATCGTGGTTGACATCTGAGGGCGCCGGCTTCGTTACAGGTGAGCAAACTGCCACCGCAGCTACCTAGAAAACGCTTAGCATTTTGCCGCCACAGGTCAAGCGATCAATGTGAACGGGGGTCTGCACTTCGACTAGATCGCGATCTACCACGATGCAGTTGGGAAGGGGCCCAATTGGGATTGGTGTATGCTGTATTGATAGTTGTGGCTGCCATATTGTATATCCATGAGCTAGTTCTCCCCCAATCTGGTCATCGAGTCGAAGGTTCAACTTCTGAACGAAGCACGTTGGTTCATCGAGGTGGAAGGCAAGCGCGCGCGTCGCATTGCGACGCGCTCCACGTGGTTATCGCTCAAGGTCACGGCGGCGAGGTTGACTTGTGGCACTTTGTCCCTTGCCATCATCACCTCATCCAGGTTACCCTCACACCCTTGACGTACCGTGTCATGTCAACAATGATCACGGCTGGATGCTTTAAATGATACGGCGCATTCAACATGAGCTCATGAGAATTCGAAGCCTTCGCGAAGCTCATGATGAGTATGGCAGCGGCCTCTCCTTCCTCAGGGTCGGCTGCCTGGAAACAGCAGATGACCCCTGCTCTTGACGCTCAGCGCGAGATCGAAGTGTTTCTGGTATAAGAATGATTACCAAGTGTAGAATCCTCGTCCACGCTATCGTCTAGCCGTTGACCCTCTCCTTCTTACACATGGCCACCCGTTTCGTGCTCCCCGCTCAGCGTGTAGCGGTTGTCACAGGTGGCGCACAAGGCCTGGGGAGGAGCATCGCCCTCCGTCTTGCTCGCGATGGCCACGACGTTGCCATTGCCGACGTTCGTGAGAGCACGGCGAGAGAAGTGGCGCGGGAGGTCCGAGCCCTAGGACAACGTTCTTTGGCGTTGTGCGCGGATGTAAGGAGGGAAGAGGAGGTTGAGAAGATGGTTAAGGACGTCGCGGAGAACTTAGGGAGTGTTGACATCGTGAGTGACAGTGGTCGTGGCTTGTTGTGCGGCACGGCTACTGATGTCCTCGCGCAGATGGTCGCCAACGCTGGGATCGCAAAAGCGGGACGCTTATTGGCTAGTCAGTACCATGCAGCCTATGCAGTATCAGCAACAACCCTGACTTTCTGTCACTCCATACAGCAAGCCTTGACAATTATCAAGACAACATGACAGTCAACGCACAGGGGGTCTTCCTTTGCTACAAACATGCGGCTCTCCGAATGATCGAGCAGGGCCGCGGAGGGCGGATCATCGGTGCGCTATTCACCTGCTGGCCGTAGCGACTTCATGCCAGAATTGACCAGTGGCCTCGCAGGTGCAAGCTCGGTATCTGGAAAGATAGGGGATCCAGATCATCTGGCGTATACCGCTAGCAAGTTCGCAGTGCGAGGTATGACGCAGGCCGCAGGTACATCTTGTTCTCCTCTCTACTCCCTCTTTGGTCTCATAAATTGCTGAAGCACTTGAGCTGGCTCAACACAATATTACCGTGAACGCTTACGCTCCGGGCGCGATCGATACAGACATGCGTACGTATCTACTAGGCTTCATCTTAGACGGCCCAGCGGGCTGATCATATGATGCCTTCGACTGTCAGTCCGTAACACCTTCAGTACAGTCAAAGGTCTTCGAGAGCGCATCGCAGCGGCCACACCCGTCGGACGACTAGGTATACCCGATGACATTGCTAGCTGTGTTGCGTGGCTGACATCCGAAGACGGCGGATTCGTTACTGGTACGCCCACTTGTATAGAATGATGAATGTTGTTTCCTTTTGACCGCGTTTGCAGGGCAGACCATCAGCATTAATGGTGGTATGCACTTCGATTAGAGCGCCCGTGCTCTTGTGGCCAGATGCTCGGCATCAACTACGCATAGTATGCCTGCGCACTGAACGGAGGCTTGCACTTTAATTAGTCGTGACTGCCATCTTGTATACTACTTCAAGGACTGGTTCTCTCATCCTGCTCGATGCAGTGGGTCCAAAAAGTCAGAGTTTGAGAGGATAAAGCAGATATATGATATGATGACCATAGGGTAGGGCAAAAACCGAGTTGGGGACAAAAGTCCGAGTCTTCTGAGAAGTGGTCAGAAACCAATGCGCATCGACGCCTACAAGTACGAACAATGCATACCTCTAAGCCTCTGCCGTTTCCACCCTCCTCTTCACCACAGTATATCCTCTTGGCGACCTCCTCTCCCTCCTCTGTTCCGTCTTATCCCGCACCTCGCTAGCCGGCACGTTCGCCACCTCGACCAGCTCCTTTACTTTGAGTATCTTTCCGGCAGTTTCCGGGTTGTGTGGGTGGTAGACGGTCTGCATTCGTCGGTGCAGTCCTAATGAGGCGAGAGTGCCCTTGATGCGCTCGCCAAGTGAAATGGCGCTGCGACGTTGGGTGATGCGGTAGTGCGTGAGCGGCTCGGATGACGAGGGCGCGGTGGGTGATAATTGAGCGGGGGTAGTCCCAAGCCAGCGCCGCGTGAGCTGGCCGGCAGTCCGTGTGACGTGCGCGCTGTGGCGAAGAGCGGAAGTGGAGGCCATGGTCGTATGGGTCGTGGACGTCGCTGGCAGCTTGGGCCGCGCCTGGAAAGTCCGCGACGCGAGAAACGCGACCACGTGAGTTGTTACGGTGGTGGCTACTTTAACCAAAGAACTAACCCGTCGGACTGGCAGTCACACATCCACGAGCAAACATCAACACAGGTCCATAAAAAGTAAGTATAGTGCGCCAGCAATATATTAGGCAAACGCATAGAAACGTCCGAGGCTAATGTCCTGGGTATGTATGACTGCGATGCGAGTACCATGTAAAATAATCACTGTAAGACAAGGGTCACGATCGGGAGAGTGTGTATCATTGTCCATATGAGAAGAAGTAATCACTGCATTCAAGCGAAGAGTCGCCGCTTTCCGAATCATCCTCTGGAATAACCTCCAACACCGAGTCCGCGTCCAAATCCTCAGCTACATCACGCACCAAACTCGTCGCGTCAGCCATATTCTCGCGGACGCGAGCCGAGAGCTCTTCAGATACATTGAGAGAGCAGGCCGCATTAGTCGTTCCGGATGGAGTCGGAGTGTCGGTAACACCATGCTGCCACGGGGCACGAGTTAGGTCGTTGAGTTGCTCTCGGATTTCGCGCACATTCGCGGAGAGTTGTTCCCAACGCGCACTTTGTACTGCCAGATCATTCTGAGATCCAGATACTGGGCCTCCATCTCCAGTTATCGGGGCGGGTGCAAAAGTAACAGGTCCGCTTATGGTCCCGAAGTTCACAAACCCGTTTGAGACGTTCAGAGGTACTGGGCAGAACGTGGTTAGCGTGGCGTTGCAAAGCAGGAAGAACTACGGAAGCGCACCGTTTCCAGGAGCTGGAGCTGGCTGGGGCATATGCTCTCCTGCGGCGTGGGGAGCTTGATCAGCACTCCTGTGCCCGTGCGGCATCCCAGGAACTGGAGTCGAAGGCACTTTGGCGACTGTAGGTTGAGGTGTGAGTGTCGCATGGCCGAGAGAGCGTGAGAAATGGTATGGCACACCAGCAAGAGAAGCCCTCTTAATGTCATTAGACTTATTCTGATACAGCGTCAGCAACATGGAAGATAGACGAATATCTGCTATACGACGTACAGTGAGTCGTTTATGCTGTTTGGTGGCTTTCAAGTAAAGGCGTTCGGCAGCAGATTTGCCGAACACCTTTCCCCTCAAGCGCTCCACCTTCTTCTCAGTGCTAAGAATTCGTTAGTGGGTGAGGAGACACGGATAGGAGCTTGGCATACTCGAGAGCATAACGAGCGTACTGGTCACGATCCACTGGGCCAAGACTATCGCCCAGCTCCTCACGCATGGCATTGATCTCGGAGAGCGTTCCCATGACTAGCGTAAGGAAGGCCCTCTTGGAGCCTGCGCGGTCTTCCCCTACAGATATAACATGGTTGATGACCGAGCACATGCCCTCGACGATTTTCGTGAAGATGACAGGGGAAATAGGGTCCATCATAGTAAAAGACGCGTAGCCAGCCGCGGTGAAGATCTGCCAATAGTAGAAGAGAGAAAGAGAGGAGGCGCAGAACTACAGGTTCATCTGGCAGTTGCGAGCCTTATTATATGTATACGAATAGAAGTGTGCTTGTGCTGTATAAGAACATTCGCCGTTGGTCGTATCGCCAGGCAACATTAGTGAGCCGTGCGCCTGCCTACCACATCCAGACACCTCAAAGACACATAGGTACAACGCACCCTTGTGTCTCATTTGGTCGTAGTGTCAATCTGACATATTGGCACACATGTGCGCCGCTTGACAAGGGAGGGTGCTGGCCCTTGCCAACGTCGCACGACATGCCAGTAGCGAACAATGCTCAATTGCCTTTCAGGGTGGTCATACCACAACGACGTCTCTTCCCGTGACGCTGGGATGCGGTGCAGGCCGTACATCGCCGAGGCAATACACGCGCCTACTCATTCAATTAGTAGAAACGCCTCACGAAGCATGTTTTGACAGCATAGTGTCAAACACGATCATTATAGTCATGATGGTATCAAGGCAACAGAGTGAGAATCAAATGAGAATCAAGTATACGGATCGGGGATCGGGGATATTCCACCGAGAGAAAGTCGCAGTCTGCGCAGGCGGAAACGAAGACCAAAGAAAGCAGGGTATTGGGTTAACCTATCCTTGACACGAGAGCGCAACTTCTTCTCGCTCAGGGACGCACGGATTTCGGCAAACCGTTCCACGACTTCGTCAATCTTCGGCCGTTTGCTTGGATCCTCCTGTGTCATGTCTGCGATGAGAGGCTTCACGAAGTCGTAACCGTCGGCGCGCTAACATGATCAGCTGGGATGAACGCCACAGCAGTACAACGCTGGCATACCTCTATGAACCATTCATTCACAAGGTTACCAGCGGTATATATGTCAGTCGCAAATGGGTCGGAAGGCTCGAATTCTTGCATGCCCTGGTGTTCGGGTACTGACTTGTCGCCGGGTATGATGGGCACGATGCGAGGCGCAGTGTTGTCCGGTTCAAACTTGTGCGAGAGCCCGAAGTCGATTATGTAGTACTTGACGGGCCGCTCCGTACGCGTGTAGTGCCGAGCTTTGCCCTTCCAATCGCGACGTCGAGTGGGTTCACTGGGATGAAATGGTTTGGGGTAGAGGGGTCCGGCATCCATGAGGATATTAGTACCAAAGAAGTCGCTGTGACGGGGGTCTGTCAGTACAGGAAGAGATGATTCAGCCACGAGGCGCCTCACCAGTGAGCTATGCGGTGCTCGTGTAGAAATTGCAACCCTTCAAGGATCTGCGTGTAAAAAGCAACGAACTCTCCAACAGTTTCGACCACCGGCTCGTCGATGTCGCTGAGGAGGGGAATGACTAGGATAGAAACATCCGGCGCATCCGGTACATCCTCTAACACTTCGATGACTCGCACGGAGTGATTGCGAGGGTCTTTCGAAAGTTCAGGTGAGGACAACATGACGGATATCTCCACCTCGCGCGAGTGCCGGGTGCGATCGATGCGCTTCAGCGTCACGAAAGTGCCGTCGCGGAAAGTAGCGTCCATGATGTTCGAGTTGAACTACAAGCACTATTAGGGCAGAAGTGAAGGGCAAGTGGATGAGACGTACATTGGGGAACTGCCCGTCTTCGTACTTTCTCGCATCTACTCTCCCAACCTTCCATGACGGCTTCCAGTCCGGATGGTAACGAGAGCGTAGTGTATACCCTCGCTCTTTCAGCCACGACCACCGTGAAGCCCACCACTGTTCGCCCAAGGAGAGTTGTTCTAGACCGTGAGTGGGTGTATCCTTCGAGGAAGTTGCGGGTGACATCGAGTAGAGCGTGGTGGGCGGAAGACGAGAGACCGAAGAGAGTACAAGCGGCCTCCCAGTCTGAACGCCCAGAGCCGAAGCTCAATGCACTCAAGCGCCCGGACAACAAGGCCCTCTCACGCCTGTCTTGCGGCGCGGGATGTCCAATTGTCATGTACACGCTGCATGCCCATGCAGGCAGGCTGACGGCGGCATTCTCGCGCTTTGGTGATGGCGACGGAGGCGGATACGAATCAAGGGCAAGCTATACAATACTGACAGACATGTGGAAGTCGAAGCCCTTGTTCTGTTCGGGGCATGCACTTGGAGGAGTTCGATAGAGCAAAAGGTAGCAGGCGTGATGTATAGCCAGATATGTAGCTATGAGGAGTAGAAGAGAGCGCGCGCTCTGCTTGTCCGACATCGACGTCCGGAACCGGACGGGCATAAGCTCGGGGGACGACGGTGTTTGCAAATCGGGCCGGCGATGCCGACCTCATGCTTGCGCGTCATCACGCACCGCGAACGGTCCTTCTCACAAAAAGCACAACCCGATGCAGTGTCGCGTACCGACCGCGCGAAATGCTGGGAGAGCCGTGACGCGTATCTTGCCTGCCTCGACGCGAATAATGTCATTGTAGCTTGCTTGTAGCTGGGAAGGAGGAGGACCGCGTCGCAAAGTCCGCGATGTGCGAAACGCGGCCACGTGAGTTGAACCCCGGATCGCACTGGGGAGAAGACGAGAGACCAGAGAATCAGAGATAATTCTGCGCATTGGTATGAAAAGAGCGAGTAGATGAGTATATGACAACAGAGTCGCAGCATCTACAAGACCAATGACCGGAGAAGCTTAGCTATCGTGACCAGACGAAGAAGATATGTTGGAGTCCAAACTCATAATAGAGCCACCGCTGTCCTCAGAATGATCAGAGGCGAGGCTTGCGGTGCCTATGGAGGCCGCGTCGTCAGACACATCCTTCGCCACCTCGGCAAGCAGCTTGATGGCACCCGCATTAGCGTGTTCAAGCCGCGTTTTCAGCTCCTCAAAGCGCCTCTGAAGGGACGCGCGCTCATCGAGAGATAGAGATGACTGAAATCCCGAGCGCATAACCTTCGCCAGACCGCGAATCTCTTCCATCTCGGCCATCAATCCCGCGCCGCGTTCCATCTGCGCCTCGGAGGCAGGGTCGTGAATGGGGGATCCCGTCGAGATCACCCCTCCATGTGGCAAAAGACCTGATCCGGGCTCGGAAGGTGTCGGAGAGCCTTGAGTTGCACTTGGGCTCGAGTAGTAGTTGTTGTTGACATTGACAACCTGAGCTTGGATGTTGCCAATTCCATATGGAGCTAGCGATAACAGTCAGCTATCCTATTTGTAAGTCCCATCTCACGGCATAGGCTCACCATGTCCCTGCCCGACATTGGACACCCCTTCAGGCATGTTTTGCGGTGACATAGTCGTAAGCGTCGACCTGGGTTGACCTGACGCTAAGAGACATCCATTACTACATTCGGTTCAATCAGCAGATAAAGGGATGACGCACCTTGGCCTGCCTCACGAGCTTTGCGGATGTCAGTCGACTTGGACTGGTATGTAATGAGTGACGTCTTCATGTGAAGGCTTTTGACGAAACGTACATATAACTCTGCATGGTTGAGTTGAATCTCACTATGTACTTTGCTTGTGGCAGTCTTTCCGCCCCAGACCTTTCTCATGAGTTTCTTGATGTCTTTTCCGTAGCTATAAAACCGTTCAGATGAGTGAAGGACGATGCAGTGACAAATGAGGCGTACTCCTCGATGAATGTACGATACTTGTCCCTATCCTCCTTGTTAAGATCCTTGCCAAGATCGTTGAGCAGTTCGGCCATCCCGGAGAGCAGTCTAGAGGCCATTTCAAGCTTCGCCTTCTTCGAGTCTTCGCCATTCTTCTCATGAGTGACAATGGACCTCAAGCCCTTGAAGGAAAGACCCAAGAACGAGCCAACAAGCTGCGGAGTGATGACGGGGTCGATCATGGTGGTGGTTGTAGATTGAAGTCGTTTAGAGTCCAGACTCTAAAGAAGTAGAAGAGTAAGCTTATGAAGGGTGAGATCGCAGAGCTGGGTGTCCACAACGGCACCACAGGGCTATATAAGCGTCTACAGAGCGTCTATCCACTAACAAACCCACTACGATTCCGACAAGGCCGACTTGGGGACAAGCGAAGCATAGCATACCGTCTACCGGTTGTGACGCGCTCAGCATGAATCATTGTACCCCTTTGGGCACTGTATAGGACCACCGGCTCGACATCTTCGACATGAGGCCAAGTGACGTGAGAGAAAGGGCGTATACGATCATGTCAAGATCATGCGAGTCCCACGACAGAGAGGTCTTGACAATTCAAATGCCCCCCATCATGGGCCCGTCGAGACGACGCCACAACGTCACATCCCACTGAGCGGCGTCAGACAAGCTACGCTGGCCAAAACAAACAAATAGACGCAGTATGCGGAAGACCACACGGTATACAAAGGAACGCTCCGGCGACTACAACATGTTACGAGGGGTACAAAGACATCCAAATGAAGCATGGGCATAGCATCTGGCGGAAATGGAACCAGTTCAAAGCACAAGGACACTGGCTTCAGGTACGGGGGTCGGGTATAGGCGGGGTCCCGGAGAGCGTGAAGTTCATCTTGCGCATCCAGAAACGTAGACCTGCGAAGGACGGGTAGATGGTCCACTTATCCCTGACACGCGAACGCAGCTGTTTTGTATCCAGCGACGCACGCAGTTCGGAGAAGCGACGAACGACTTCGTCGATCTTCGGACGCTTAGCGGGGTCGTCCTGCGTCATGTCAGAGATAAGAGGCCGCATAAAGTCGAACCCCGCAGCGCGCTGTCATCAAATGAGCGAGACGGACCGATGATAGACACGATGCGACGTACTTTGACAAACCATTCATTCACGAGGTTACCAGCAGTGTATATATCCGTCGCAAAGGGGTCGGAAGCCTCGAACTCCTTCATGCCTTGATGCTCGGGCACGGACTTGTCGCCGGGAATGATCGGTACGATGAGAGGGGCTGGTTCGTCTGGTTTGAATCGATGCGAGAGTCCATAATCGATGATGTAGTACTTGACAGGCCGCTCTGTACGGGTGTACGGTCGAACCTTGCCCTTCCAATCGCGGCGACGAGTAACTTTGCGTGGATGAAATGGAACGGGATACAACGGTCCGGAGTCCATCATGACATTGGTCCCATAGAAGTCACTGGTATGCAGGCTCAATCAACGGGAAACGTTGCACAGTGGCACAACGACGCACCAGTGAGCGATATGACGTTCGTGTATGAATTGGAGACCTTCAAGGATTTGCGTATAGAACGCAACGAACTCTCCTATGGTCTCAACAAAGGGCGCGTCGATCTTGCTGAGGAGGGGCATAACGAGTATCGCCGTATCAGATGCGTCCGGCACATCCTCTAGGACTTCGGTGATTCGCACGGAATGATTGCGAGGGTCTTTCGCGAGTTCAGGTGAAGATAACATGACGGAGATCTCGACCTCTTGAGGGTGCCGAGTGAGGTCAATGCGTTTCAGGGTAACGAAAGTCCCATCGCGAGCAGTGGCGTCCATGATATTGGAGTTGAACTAGAGTAAGATCAGACGCGAAGCTGGTGGCAGAACGGATAGCAACACGTACATTGGGGAGCTGCCCATCTTCGTACTTTCTCGCATCGACTTTCCCAACTTTCCATGACGGCTTCCAATTGGGGTGGTAACGAGGACGTAGCGTATAGCCTCGTCCTTTCAGCCATGACCACCGTGAAGCCCACCACTGTTCGCCCAGGAAGAGTTGTTCTCGACCATGACCAGGAGCATCCTTCGACGAAGTTGCGGGTGACATCGGGTGGAAGGTAGCGGGCGGAAGACGAGAGATCGAAGAGTGTACAAGCAGCCTCCCAGCCTGGACGCCCAAGCGCCGGAGCTCGGTGCACTCAAGCGCCCGGACAACAACAAGGCCCTCTCACGCTTGTCTCGCGGCGCGGGATGTTCAATTGTCGTGTACACGCTGCATGCCTGTGAAGGTAGGATTACAGCGGCGTTCTTGCGCCTTGGTGATGGCGACGGAGGCGGATACGAATCGAGGGCAACCTAGACAATACTGACGGATAGGTGGACGCAAGGTGGAAGTTGGAGCCCTTGTTCTATTTGAGGCATGCACTTGGAGAGGTATTCGATAGAACAAAAGTGTGCATAGCCAGACTTGTGGCGATGAAGAGTGGGAGGAGAGAGTGCGCTCTGCTCGCCCGACATCGACGTCGGGAACCAGTCGGCAGTCGGGCAAAAGCTCGGGGGACGACGGTGTTCGCAAGTCGGGCCGGCGATGCCGACTTCATCCTTGCGCGTCATTCAGCTCATTGCTCATCGCACAAGCATCGCAATGTGATATTTACGGGAGAAAGCAGCGAGTACAGCTCACAAGTAGTGTAACTACATTCTGGTAACTTCTTGCAGATAGCAAATAGAGTCCACATATATGAACCAAACGGTGCCCTGAATGATGAGGTAGAACACATGTCAGGGATGGGGGTCAGGTATTGGAGGCGTCTTCGTGAGGGTATACACGAGTTTCCGCAATCGTACTCGGGTGCTTGAAAAGGACGGGTACATGGTCAATCGGTCGACAACTCGGGATCGCAGTTTGTCCACGCTTAATGTGGAGCGCAGCTCTTCAAACCGTTGCACGACTTCGTCGATAGTCGGTCGTTTGCTGGGATCATCCTGCATCATATCAGATACCAGAGGTTGCATGAAGTCAAACCCCTGTGCGCGCTGTAATGCGTCAGAGTGGCTGCGAGTGAAGAATGACTCCACTTACCGATGCAAAGAACTCGTTAACGGTATTTCCCGCGGTATAGATGTCAGTCGCAAAAGGGTTACATGGTTGAAACCCGCGCATTCCTTGGTGCTCGGGGACCGACTTGTCAGCCCCGATAATAGTAGGAACAAGAGGATTGGCTTCATTCCCTTCGAATTGCCGTGAGATGCCGTAGTCAATGATGTAGTACCTGACTGGGCGCTCTGTGCGGGTGCAATGTTCGGTCTTGCCGGACCAGTCACGGCGTCGGCTAGGATCCAGGGGATGAAAGGGCGCAGAATAAAGAGGAGTAGCATCCATGACCATATTCGTCCCGAAGAAGTCTCTGGCCAACAACTTAGAATCGATGTATTTCGCGTTGTACGGAGTTACTCACCGATGGGCTATGTGATGGCTGTGCAGAAACTGTAGGCCCTCTAGTACCTGCGTGTAGAAGGCAACGAACTCTCCAATCGTCTCGATTACTGGCTGATTGATGGCACTCATCAAAGGCGTCACGAGTATGACGGAATCCGGTTCTTCCGGCACAATATCGAGTACCTCGAGCACCGGGATTGAACGGTTCCGAGGGTCAGCCTGGAGTTCTGGCGAGGAGAGTTTCGTTGTAATATCAACCTCGTAGGGATGAAGCTTGCGGTCTATCCGTTTAAGCATAACAAAAGTCCCGTCGCGAGCAGTGGCGTCCAGGAGATTAGATAACTGTCACAACAATTGAGCGCTGAGCATCCACGGCGAATAAGTAGTGATGCGACGTACAAGTGAGAACTGGCCATCCTCGAACTCCCGAGGATCCTTCTTGGTACCTATCCAAGAAGGGCTCCAATTTGGTCGAAAGCGAGGACGGAGCATATAGCCATGCTCCAGCAGCCACAAGTACCGTGAGGCCCACCACTGTTCATCCTCGTAAAGAGTGTCGCGGCCGTGAGGCTTGCTGTCTGTCCGTTCAGTGTGCGCAGAAGTGCTCATACGCGATTGATGTTGGAGCTAAAAGTCGCTGCCTCAGTGTCTGCGGGAGAGGTGGTGGTGGGAGTATACGTCCGTGACATGCACGCTCATTGCACCCCAGCGTAAAGCACGCCGATTCCTCGTGGCCCTGGGGCAGTGTGAGAATTCGTGCGACGTATCTCCGTCACACTACGGGAAGCACGATTGCCATGTATTGTACGCTGCAGGCATATGCAGACAGGTTGACACCGGAGTTCTCGCGCTTTGATGATGACAGTAAATGAGGGAGTCGGAGCCTTTCTTCTGTTTGAAGACGTGCACTGGGAGAGTTGTTGTACACTAGGACGAAAGGTAAAGTCAGAATGTATTGCAAGATTGAGGCTATGAACAGTGGAAGAAGATAGCGCATTCTTCCTGACCGACATGGTCCTCGGGAATAAGCTTGGGGACACTGCAGGATAACTGCTGACAACCGTGCTCGCAAGTCGGGCCGGCGATGCCGACCTCATGCTTGCGTCATTGCTCATCGACACCGCGCAGCGTGAACTCAGCTTGGACTTTAACGACGATGTGGTGGCCCTTCTCACAAAAAGCACAACCTGACGCAGCGACGCGCACCGACCGAGCGAAATGCTGGGAGAGCCGCGATGCGTATTTTGCCTGTCTCGACGCGCACAACGTCATTGTAGCCGGAAAGGAGGAGGGCGCATGCAATAGGCCCTTGAAGGCATATGAGGAGAACTGTGCGAAGAGCTGGGTGCGTTATAGCTCGGTCTCAGCCAGGCTGTCGGCTTATGTACTTTCTATCAGATTGACTACTTCAATCAACGGAGAGTATTGGCAGAACGGCAGAAGCCGATGCTGGAACAAGCGGCATGGCAGGCGGAGGACGCCAAGAAGAGGGGCGTATAACATATCCGGTACGGCTGCCATTTGCTACCTGACATTTGCTTTTACTGATGCTAGGACTCAGACACATCTCTTGCCTATACTACACAACCCTGTATCATAATGCACCACCCTACTCATGCGTCTTGACACAATGCAATCATAGTAATCCAATACCAACTTGTCGTTGTCCGACTTTTTGCGACAAACATATTACCATCCTGGTCATGATGGATCGATACGAGCCCAATAAAATGGTATCCAAGATCCCAACTAGTCCATGTACATCAAGCCTTGCCGTGCACTACTCTCTATCGCTCATACACCGTTCATCTGGTTGACGGCTGCAAGGCCATTGCCGAGGTCAACGTAGTCGAGGAGCACAAAATTCGGGTACAGTCCATCACCAAGCGGCGCGCAGCCAGCGGCGTTGGCTAAGATGCTACAGGAGAAGTCAGTGTCTGACTTGCAGAGAGCGAGAGTCAGTACGCACGAGGCTACACCATTCGTCGTAGGCGCATCCACCGGGTCACTGACGAGGATACCGGTCCCGAAGACATTCTTGTCATAGAAATGGTTGAGCATGTACATGTGGTCAGACGTGCTCAATGGACCCGATGTGCGGTCGACAGAGCACGGGAAGGTGTTGTCCGTGCTGTCATAAGGCGGCTCCCAGATCTGTGCGCATTCAGTGACTGTTACCAGACGCTCGGAAGTCACTCGCCATAGTGAACTCCTGCAGGAAGTAGTCAACAACGCCACCGTCGCTACCGTCCGCGCCATAGTCCATGAAGATAACGACGCGCTTGCCCGAGTCGATCATCGAGCCGAGAGTCGGCCAGTCGCCGCGCTTGACCGGGATACTGGGCGGGATGTACGCTGTGTGATAGCTCAACACTGTACTATGAAGTATGATGGAGTCGGACTCACCGAAGTCCGTGATCCCGCTGGCATCGAAGACGGGCTTCCACACGTCCGGAAGGCTCAAACCGTCCGGGTTGGTCATTAGGAGCGTGAGGACCTCATTAGGGTTCGCCTTGAGCCATGTTACAACGGTCGCAAGGTAGTCGGCAACGCTGCCGCCGTCGAAGAGCAAGCAGCTCGTATGGCAGAACTTGAGGACACCATCATCCCTAAGGGCGGTCAGCGATATGGAGAAATGCCTAGAGTGCTTTGCTTACTGGTGAGCCTGCGTCTGCAGCATGCGCACACCGCCGTTCAACTGATCCGTCAGGCTGGCTTCCTGATCGCGGGCCACTATCAATCGCATATTAGCATCTTCGATACGGCAGGGTGTGAAGGGACGCACGGGCAAGCGGGTCGCTACTTATCGCGTACGAGTCGTGAGACCCAAGGAATGTGACGTTGCCGTATGAGCGGTCGCACAGCGCAGCGTTCCCATTGCATACAGTCGCCCTGTGAGCTGCATATCAGTGACGTTCGCGAGAAGAGGCAGCGCCGGAGAACTCGGGCCGGACTAACCGCTTCTCGGGAACAATGGCTGCGCGCGCGAACAACGGCGCGGAGAGCGCGAGCAGAGCAGAGGCGACACGCATGACAGGCTAAGACCGGGCACCGACACTGGCCGCATGAATGTTCGAAGGCATCGGTATATATACTCGCCCGCCGCATCGCGGGCAAAACAGCAGGTGCTCGCGGCGAGCATGTGACCCGCCAGTCCATCAGAGGCAACGATGCCTTGATACGAGGAAGCAAGAACCGCATGCTCCATACATAGAGCGCAGGGAAAACATAGGGAAGCATCTGAGGCGAACGTGTGGGCATGGGGCTCATGCAGTTGGCGAACGTGAACACCAAGAGCATACGTGACGTTGAAGAACGCGCATAGATGGGTCGGCACACACGGTTGACAAGGAAGCGATGCTTCAGCATACAAGGACAGATCACGCGTACGATGGATAATCTTGTGATATTGCTGATGCCCAGCCTCGTTCAGCGTATGTACTATTGAGCATGCTCTGCAGGGATTGATCAATAGCAACTCATATCGAGGGTAGACGGTACATACAATACTATAGATAGACCTTGTTCTCACAAGTCCAAGTCACTGATCGTCGTCATCGTCTTTGGCTTGAGCCCGATAACACCGCCACCGTGTCCATCCCATCCAGGTATGTGACCTCGGCAAAGCGGACATCTGCAGAAGTCCGGTGAGTACGTCGAGCAATGATCAAGACGGTCATACGTACCTAGCCATCGTGGTGCCATACGCAGTGATATTTCTCATAGCGATTCTCACACTGGTGAAGAGACATTCGCCGCAAAAGATATGGCCACACGGTATGAGTGTGGCGTTCTTTGGTGGCGCAAGACACACGGAGCAATTATAGGTGTGCAGATATTGCGGTTCACTCGTTTTGGCCTCAGGAGGTGCCACAACTGGAATTGAAGTTGTAGCAGGGACCGCGGATTCCACAAGTTCAATGTCCGAGGCCACGGCAGCAGAAGCATCAGGAGCAGGGGAGCTGATATCTTCCTCGGCAGAGTCGTCCGCTGGATCGGAGGCGACCTCTTTGCCTTTGCCATTCGTGTTGCGTCTTCGACGGGCAGCCCCTTCGCCATAGATAGCATCCTCGATGGCAACTTCGGCTGCCTTCCTCTTCTTCCCCGTGCTATTGGAGGTGTTTTCTTTCCCCTCTGGTGACGCCACTTCTTCCTCCTTGATTCGTTCTTCTTCAACTAAAGGACCGCTAGACCAGGCGGCGCCACCGGCAGACGAAGGACCAGGTCCAGCTTCGGGTATAACCTCGGTAGCCAGCAGAGATGAAGGTCCAGCAGATGATCCAGAGGGACCGGGTTCTCCGATCTGAATAGTCTGTTCGGTGGTCCGAACAAGAGACACGGCGCGCGAGCTCTGACGGGAACTCGAAGTGGACGCATTACTGCGCCGACTTCTACTTCGGGCGGCAGTGGGAGTAATAGTACGCGTCGTAGTCGGTGCAGGAAGAGGCCCGTCATCAGGTTCTGCAGAGGACATGGGAGTAGTTGCGATGGTGGTATGAGATGGAGAACAATAGTTGCGCCACGCGCGGATCGCTGCACGGACACCGGTCCGAACGCCGATCTGAACATCCCCGTGCAAGCGGCCCTCTCAACGAACCACCACGACCTCATACGCTCTTGTTGCAATCCATACTCTTATCGAATACTTCTGGAGCGGTCTTGGTGCGAGAGCAAAGCCCGAAAACACCGAGAGCGAACGCGTGGTAGAAATACCCGTCTGATAGAACACCTAGCGGGGCGCCTGTCAGCCGCCACTTCCACCATCTCCTCTCCTGTGAAACACAATCTGGATCACGAAGAGTATATAAACCTTCACCACACTAGACTTCCTGTACTTCTATCATCATGGCCGAGTACCGACTTCCCACCAATGTCAAGCCCACCAAGTATGCGATCACATTGCGTACTGATCTCGAGAAGGAAGCGTTCTCTGGTGCTGTGCAGATCAGGTTCGTAGGATTTACGACATATATCGAACGCAGGATACAAAGTAGGCTGACGTGAAACATATCAGTATCGACTTCGTGAAGGCTGCAAAACAAATCACGCTGAACGCAATGAAGAATCTCGTCCTGAGCAATGAGTCGTTGACTGTCACCTCGAGCCCCGATGCGTCTGGGTCCATCATCTTTGACGGATCGTCGAAGGAATATGATGAAGCCACGCAACGCGTCACTTATAAACTACCTACCGAGCTACCTGCAGGAACAAAGGCTATACTCAGCATTGCGTTCGCTGCACCACTCACGGACAGTATGCTCGGGTACTACAAGAGCTCTTCGCCCGTAGGTATTTACACCCTGACTCACTTCGAGGTGCGTTCTATATCGGATTATTCATCGTCCTCAATGCTGACCATGCTCTAGAGCACACATGCGCGGCGCGCGATACCATGCTGGGACGAACCTCTGCTGAAGGCCGTGTTCTCCGTGACGATGATTTCGCGTGCGGGCACCGTCTCGCTCTCAAACACATCTGCTCTCCCCAACACGCAACCAAACCCATCTACCCTGGCCAATTATCTCCCTGCCAGCGTTGTCGATGCACTCTACGAAGGCGTTGATGCGGGATCATGGGTCACTACAACTTTCGAGGATACACCACCCATGTCGACCTATCTCCTCATCTTCGCCAATGGCCATTTCGAATATCGAGAGAGTAGCTATACCAGCCCTATCAGCGGCAAGACGAAGCCACTTCGAGTATGGGGTACGTTATCCGTGCAGGAGTCAACTCTGAATACCGTTGCTAACCTCAGCGTACAGCGACGAAAGATATTATCAGTCATACCCAGTATGTTCTCGACGTGACTGCTCGCGCAGTACCAGTCTTCGAGAAAGTATTCGATGTGGAGTACCCATTGTCCAAGCTCGACACACTCGTCGCGCATGACTTCGATATCGGCGCCATGGAGAATTGGGTGTGTGCTGTTACCTCTGGACGACTGGCTGGTGGGACGCTGACGGGTCGCTTGTACAGGGTCTTATCACAGGTCGTACCTCTGCGATGCTCGTTGATACAAACAGCCAAGACCTCACTCGCCGCATGCGCGTGGCAAGCACTCAGACTCACGAGTGAGTTAGCTCACCCCTGCGAAGAACATGTACTGATAGGGAATGCGTCTGGAGGATCTCCCACATGTGGTTCGGCGACATCACAACGATGGCATGGTGGGATAACCTGTACTTGAAAGAGGGTTTTGCGACCGTCATGGGCGAAAGCATCATTCTCAATCGACTCTTCCCTGAATGGCGTCCCAACTCGCAATTCATCAACGAGAACTTGAACCAGGCCCTACGTCTCGACGCGAAACCTTCCTCGCATCCGGTCGAAGTGCCATTACCTGACCCGAACCAGATCAACCAGATCTTTGACTCCTTGTCGTACGCAAAGGTGTGACTCAGTCCGTTCCCGAGAGCATCGATCACTGACTCGAAGGTTGTGTAGGGAGCGTCTGTGTTGCGCATGTTGTCTGAATACGTTGGCGAGGGGGACTTCCTCCATGGCGTGAGCCTTTACCTCAAGAAGCATAGCTACGGCAACACAGTCAGTGCGGACCTCTGGGAAGGAGTGGCACAAGCAACTGGTACGGTGGTTCTCTCTAACCGTTCTTCTTCGGCGAGTACTCACGGAATGCTACAGGGAAAGACATCGGCGCGTTCATGCACCACTGGGTTGCTTCCATCGGCTTCCCAGTGCTTACAGTAACCGAGAACGATGACGGGAAGAGTATCTTGGTCCGTCAGGATAGGTTCTTGGAGGACGGTAAACCAGAGGAGAAAGACAACCAGACCATTTGGTGCGTGTTCTGCGTGGCAACATCAACATTGATTCACATCGCTGACACCAGATAGGTCTGTCCCGCTCTCACTCATATCCTCCAAGGGCTCAGACCGCAGTGCTGTGCTCGACAAGCGCGAAGCTTCCTTTGAGGTTGATAGCAGCAAGCCCTGGAAGCTAAACGGTGGAACCATAGGCGTCTGTGCGTTCACTCGCGTTTCGGGCATCATCTCATCCCTTATCATTCTAACATCTTGACAGACCGCGTACTCTACACGCCCGAGCGTCTGCAGAAGATTGCGGCTCAGGCTACCGCACCAGACAGCGTCTTTACCCTTGAAGACCGCATCGGGCTTGTGCACGACGCGATGGCATTGGCCAAGTCTGGGCACTTGAAGCTGAGCGCCGCGCTCGCCCTTGTCAAGACCTGGGCAGGCGAGAGAGAGCGTGCGTGTACCCTCGTCTTTCATATGGCGTTGCAGCCCACTTACTTACGAGTTCCACCAGATCTCGTTTGGGAGGGCATATCCGACAATCTCAGCTTTGTTGTGGGCACCTGGTGGGAGAATGAACGCGTGCAAACACAACTGAGCGCCTTCCGCCGTACTTTGATCGCACCAATCGCGAAAAGACTGGGGATCGACTATGAACCCGGTGAAAGCCCTGACATTACGCAGCTACGCAAGATCGCTGTCGGTGATGCTGCCGCGGCAGGCGATGAAGCCCTGCTCGCCGAACTCAAGACGCGCTTCTCCAAGTACATCGCGGGCGACGAGGGTGCTATTCCTCCAGATCTCCTTGCCATTGCGTTCACTCAAGCTGTGAAGCATGGCGGAAAGGAGGAGTATGAAGGTGTGCTGAGAGTGTACGAGGCCGGGAAAGGACCAAGCGTGCACATTGCTGCGATGTGCGTTGTTCTCCGTGTGGCTCCATGCCTGCGCACTGACATACACATAGACGTGCACTCGGCGCCACTCGGGACCCGGCTCTGCTGGAACAGACCCTAGACTTAATCGGCTCAAAGTCTCGTAACCAAGACATCGTCTACTTCTTCAGCGGACTGAACGCAAACTATAAGGCGCGGCGCAGAGTTCGTGCCTACTTCGAGCATGAATATGACTCGGTCAGTCAGGGATTCCAGGTCTTACTTGCGCGCTTGCTGACGATCCGACATTCAGCTCATCAAACGGCTCGAAGGAACATCCGCCATACGTAGCTTCATCGGGTCGGTGTACTCGGTGTACAGCACCCAAGAAGATCTCGAACATGCAGAGGACTTCTTCAAGACGAAGGATACAGCGTGGTTCAGTATGGCACTCGCACAGGCCCTTGATTCGATCAAGGCTAGGATCCGCTGGCTTGAGGTATGCTCACTTCATCTCCCTATGTCCTTACGTATCTCACGGCATCTGCACCTCCAGCGGTCAACGAATGATATACAAGACTTCCTGGACGAGTGGGAAAAGAGCCCTTAGATGTCCTCTGTTGATACATGTTCACTCGTGTACTCCCAGTAAAGTGTCGGAAGATATTTGTAGCCAAAGTGTACACCCACTGCTCGTAGTTTTTCTCCTGTCAGTCGTTACTTAGTGCAAGCTCCCCGGGGACAGCTCGTTGCCTGAAGCGCGACACGGGAAAGAGGTACCGGCGCATGTGGGTATACGGAGATAGACACAGAGCCGTAGCTCGTCATAACTGAAAGTAGTAGTAGTAGTAGTAGTAGTGGACCACCATTTATGTCCCATTAAGAGACCGGCTGGATCGGGGCCGCACGTGGAGTCGGCCACGTGCTTACCCTACCCACGTCCCCGACAGGCAACGATTTCCCCGCGTTTAAGAGGCTCTGATGCCAGCAGGTAATGGGTGCAAACTAGTCGTCATCGTCATCCTCGTCCTCCTCTACTCTCTCAATGTACGCTACAGGCCATTGTAGAGCATAAGAATCGAAGATCGAAAACACCTTTCTCGTAAATGCGGCGAGGTAGCGGGCAAGCTCGGGCGTAGAGATCAAGGTAACCAGAACCGTGAGCGCGTCGTTCGACGTCAATCGCAGCGGAAGGTCGGGGCAGTGCTCGCGTACTTGACCCGCGAAGTCATCCCTCACCCTCAACAGCTCGGGGACGCCTTTACAAACTAGCAACGCGTGTTCCGGCGATTCGACGTCCAGACCGCACAGTCGGCACAGCCTGTCGTCACGGGGTACCTTGCTTCTCTTAATGCCGTTGCGTGTAGACGACCAGCGTAGCTGCTCCAGCGCGAATGGGTGGTCGCTGGCGAGCAGCTTGGTGAGCGCAATCCGGTCGTCGTCGTCCACTACACTAGTGAGATAATGCCGCATTTGTATTACGGGCTTGGTAGGCGCTCCTCGTCTCTGCGGCTCTGTGCGGTCGCGCAATAGGTATAGGCGCGACGAGGCCAGTATAGCGTCTTGAATTTCGGCCCGCATCGACGCGTCGACCAGTCGCATGAGGTCATCTGCCGTGTCCGGGTTCCAAAGGCTGGCAGTTCTCCTGGGGATCTCGACCTTGTGCGGCAGCCGCCTCATCGCGTATGCAAGGTCACCCAGCCAGCCTGGTATTCCGGCCTCGTACATGGCAAAGGCCTCCTCCATGGCCAGACGCACGTAACGGCCCTCGGGTTGATCCGCAACGTAGCGCAGGAAGCGCAGAGCCAGCTTTATACGCCTGAAGCGTATCGGCACGATGCCGAGTTCCGTGAAGAGCGGGATCAGCAGCGACCGCGTACGGAGCCCGAGCACGCGCCTACAGAAGGCATGCTGGACGTCTTCGAGCGCCTGTATATGCGAGCCTATGTCGGGCACGGCGTCGGCGCCAAGGATGAGGTAGCACTCGACGCGCGCATCGTACAGCGTCTTCGCGTCGACCGGCTTCAGCCTGCCCACGACGCTGCGAGCTCCCGTGATGGCAATGGCAGCCCTGTGTGCTTTGGCGGCGGCCTCCGGGTACAGCGGCTCGAACGGATTGTACTCCGTCGCGCACATCGGCAGCCCCACATATTTCGCGCGGGCGACGTAGGGCACACGCACGCCCTGCAGATGAAAGACGGGGGGCTTGTTCGGGATCTTGCCAGCGAGCATCATCATGGACTTGATGGCGTTTGCGTTCAATTGGGCGCGGGCGGCGTAACGCCCGACGTAGGAAAGCAGGGCCTGCATGCCCTGATGACCCAGGCGAGCACCGAGCATGTCGTCGGCGTGGAGCATGATGGGCATACGCTGCCCCGCGATAATCGGGTCGTCTTCGTGATCTGGAGGCCGAAAGTCCGCGAGAAACAGGTTCCAAAGCGTAGGGGAGGATGGGTCGCCAATGAGCACCCCGATGTCCGACCTAAACTCCTCGGAGTACGCACCCTCCAGCTCGACGACGTAGCGCATCTCGGAGTACAGGCGCCTAAGCCAGTCGATAACGGGGCCAACACAGCCCATTCGCTGCAGTTTGACGAAGAGGATGTCCCTGTTCGTGGAGGGGAACGCGTTGCTGATATCGATGAACGCGATGTAGACGGGTTGTTCGTCGCGGTACTTCTCGAGGATCGTGCGCAGAACGAAGACATTGTTGTTCGTTCGGAAGCCGTGGCGGAACCCGTTCTGTGACGCCGGCAGGATCTGCTTTCACTCCGCCCACCCGTAGAGTCTCTTATGAATGAGAAGGGTGAGGAGCTTCAGTACGACACATTCGAGGCCGATGGTACGGTAGCTATTCGCGTCTCCCTCTGGAAGGCCCTTCTTCATAATCCCAATGACGACCGTCTTAAGCCAGACAGAGGGGGCGTCTTGCTGCCGTATGCACTCGTTAAAGAGCCTGGCCAGGTCGTCGTTGTCCATGTTCATGATGCTGGACTTTAGAACACCGTCGAAGCCAGGCGCACCATCAAGGCCCTGCTTCTTGACGTCGGCTTTGAGCAGCGCGACTTCCCGCGCATCGACTTCTCGAGTGAAGGTGTCATCGGGCTCAATGTCGGGCACGATACGGGCAAGATCTCGCGCCTGTACGCGCGCCGCGAGTTCAGCGGCGCGACTGAACGTCTGTGGAGGGACGGGCGGCTTATTCATGCGCTTTCGGAAGACGCTGTGCAGGGCCGATAGCGCAACCTTCGGGGCCTTCTTACGCGGGTCCATGAGGCGACGGTACGTCGACCAGAACTTCTTCACTGCGGACCGGGAGCTTATCAGACGGATGAGCTTCTTGTTGTCCTTCCAGCGGCGCAGGGCACGACCATTCTTCTTTCCTGACACCGTCTTGAAGGTGGGCTTTGGGCCGAGGTTTAATGGAGCGGCGGGGTTGAGAGTCGGGGGCAGGGAGGTCGAGACCTTCGCGACGTCAAGCCTGTGGTGGTCCGCGTACGCGAGGTCCGACGGGGGCGGGAGGATATGCACGTATTCGCCGGCATCTGCCTTCCGAGCACCGTCGGAAAGACTACGACGAGGTCTGTATGATACGAGTGCCTCCTTTGCAAGATGATGGCAGTCCCAGTCCAAGCGCCGCGGGGTCGACGACGCGCTTCCGGGCCTGTGGCTCTTGGCTCGTACCCACCACCATGGTCCGTTTCAAAGTGCGTAGCCCGTGCCGCACCCAGGCTTTTCACTGACTTACCCAGCTCAGAATCGGTGGATCCTGGTTGAATTCCTTACACCATCTAACGCAGAGCCCACACGCGAGCTCAGCGGCCAGGCGATCTTTTCTGCGCTGCGCGAGAGCGTGGTGACCAACTTCGGCGATGTTGGATGGGGCGCTGTTGGGGCTTCACTCAGTGGTACGCCTGCACATGTTGCTCACGGTATATCACATACTGACGTGCGGTTTTGTGCGTAGTGAAGTACTTCTCGCCAACAACGAATCTCTGCATCATTCGCGTCGGGCGAGACCCGCACCGTATAGCGTGGGCGGCAGCTGCACTCCTCACGTCAATCGACGGCCGCCAAGTCATTCCAAACGTCGTGCATGTCTCTGGTACCTCTGAATCTGTCGATTCTGAAGATTCGAATCTCATCCAAAGTAGGGACGATCAAGCACACACAATTCGCTGCGATCGAACATAACCGGGTGATCATAGCAAAGTTCAGAGCGAAGGCCAAGACGCCAGGTATGCGCGACGTGTCATGGAGACGACGATGTGATGGCTGACGTGCTTTCAGCCGGATACCAGGACAGCTACTCACAGTTCCTCGAAACGAGTACTCGCGAAATCAGCGCACTACAAGACTGAAGCGTCGCGTCAGGCAACGGCGATCGGAGTTCGCCACCCAACTGCCTATTCACTGAGGCAGTGCTCCAGGCCACTCAGGTTGAGCAGCGTACTCGGAGTTCTACCCTCTCCCCTGCCTTCGAACTTGCGGCGGGACGCCTACGTCGGTTACATCGCTTATGCGTGCGACGAAGGCTGACATGCGCACTGGTCGGCCGGGGATCTTCTGCGCTTGCAGACTTTAAACGACTGGTGCATCGGCGTAGCAGGAAGCATGAACTCTATGTGCTTGGCCCAGTACGAAGAATCAGTACGAAGAATGGAGGAGGCTGGAACGGAGAAGGCTGGCGTGGGTGTATGAGACGCATAGGACCTGCATCGATGAGACTTCACATCCCCTTTTCAATTGAATGGTCGTTTCCACTACATCAAGTGTATGTCCAAAAAATTTGAAGGCAGTAGTGGTATACTTGGGACTTGCGGACGCTGTTGCATTGCGGTTCTTGTGGTCCTAAGGGCCCATTTGGGCCCCGGTAGGGTTATCACTATGATCCACACCTCCCGATATACTCTGCGTAGATGTTAATGCACCGAAGACGCATATAGACGGCCAACAGTAGGCTGTAAATCGTAAAGAGTGGATATGCTGATGGTTGATGAGATAAGGTACAACCTAGTAACAAGCACGCCACGGTAGCGCATCTGCTGGACTCCAGCAGATGCGTTATCGTGGGTAATTTTGCTTTCAGCAAGCTTGGGGTTCGAGTCCCGATGTACACATTTCCGATATCAGCGCGCGTGCTTTCTCTACTTTTGGAAGCTTACATGTCGTCGTAATGTATTTGAGCTAGATGACTTTGTCTATGACTTTGTACATACAATCTATCGTTTATACATAAACAAATACAAATATTGATCACAGTTTGCTCTCCAACAACCCCTCCACAGCCCTACCCTTCAATCTCCTGCCCTCTCTCCTCCGCGCAGCCCTCTCCTTCTCCCTCTCCTCCTCAGCCCAGTCTCTCACACCCTCGACCAGCGTATCCAGCGCCTCTCGTGGTGTATTGGCTTGCAGGCAAACGCGAACACGCTCAGTACCGCGAGGTACGGTCGGCCAGACTATCGGCCGGGCAGTCAGACCGCGTTGAGCGAGGAAGGCCGACAGTGCACGAGCGTGCGGTGTTAGAAGTGGAATAATGGGTGCGGGTGGTAGGGTGTCTTCTACGGCCGGTTCTCTAACACCGCATAGGTGTGGTGGGAGACGTACGAGGCTCGTTGGCAGGAGCGCGAGCGTCTCTCGTAGCCTGTCGAGCAGGTATCGTGTGTTGGAATGCAGAGTGAAGGCGAGGGTGGATGCTGTCCCGTCGGAGAGAAGATCGAATGAGCAGGAGGCGGAGATGATGGCGGTGTTGGAGAGCGCGGTAGTGTAGATGAGAGGCCGGGCGTAGTTGAGGAGGTAGTCGCGGACGAGTGTGCTTGTCAGGAGTACAGCTGAAGCCGATGTATCAGTATACATGCAGTGGGGTCAGACGTAAAGAGCATACCGCCAGTCGCCGCAAGTGCCTTTCCGAACGTATGCAACCTCGCAAACACTCGCTCTTCCAGGCCCAACGCACAAACCAAGCCTCTCCCTTGTGGTCCACACACCCCGGTCGCGTGCGCTTCATCTACAACCAGATGCGCATTGCCCCTTGGGAAGAGATCCTCCAAGATATCCACGATCTCCACGAGCGGCGCAACCGTGCCGTCCATAGAGTACACGCTCTCGACAGCAACAAACACGGATGCCTGACCGCTCTTCAATGCAGGAACGTCATGCTTGGCCTTCTCGAGTGTCCGCCTGAGGGAGTGGGGTTCGTTGTGCGTGAAGGTCCGTCGCAGAGCAGAGGGTACGCGCGACGCCCTGACGCCGTCATGTACACTCGCGTGTATGAGCTCGTCCAGTACGAGTACGTCGCCCGGCTGGGGGACACTTGCGAAGAACGCAGCATTGGCGTCAAAGCCCGAGTTGAACAAGAGCGCTTCCTCGGCGCCTCCGAAGAATTCCTTTAGGCGCGCCTCGAACGATGAGTGCGCGGTAGGGTTCACCAGCAGCCGACTGCCGCCAGAACCCAGGATATCTGGCGCATTTTGTAACGCGCTCAGTAGGCATTCGCGTAGCAGAGGCGAGGATGATAGCGAGAGGTAGTCGTTAGAAGAAAAATCGGTGCCCGTGGACGCAGTCGCGCGCGCCGAAGACGGCGCAGGAAGCCGCCGCCTGATACCACGCTGCTCGCGCGATACGAGCGCCGCTTTCAGCTTAGACTCAAGAGCGGCGTCGTTGCCCATATCGCAGACCGAGATCGTGGTTTAAGAAAGAGAGACAGCTGCACGGCTCCCCAGCCAAAGTATAGCTCCGAACGCCGAGTCCGAGTCCAACAGAAAATCCCGACGAGAATTCAGGCGCGCGGGGCGCATTCCCCACCGTGATTGCTTGGTCCGCACCATCGGCATCGGCGCGCTCAACTTCAACCCCCTGCGCGCTTCTCTATTCGGCCGTCGGAGGCGACGGCCTACATACTTGGCGTTGCGCCGAGCCTGAGCGACAATGCGCGATGGAAAGAAGGAAGGACTTGGTGAGAGGCGCTGAGGAAGGCGTGATATCAGATA